AGAGAGAAAAGAAAGGAAGAAATAGAAAGAAGCTACCTAATTATACTGTAAAGTGCACTATGAGGACTAGGATTGAAGATTACCATAGTTATCATCTCTCTAGCATTAAAGTTTGTCTTGGCTTACTAAACAAAAAATGCATACCGGTATTTTGTTTGTATTGATTTCTTTGTATGCCAGTTAATCCCAAAATTAAAATGTAAGTCAACAAACAAGACATCAARCTATAAGAATGATGATAGAAATAAAATACTGGTAAACACAATGACAACTATAAACAAACATCAGATTTTTATTTGTGTTACAGTATACAGGTAAGTTACAAATAGGTGATTTTTAATTYTCATCATGAAATAGCAGCTTTGACAGTAAGCAGAACAATTTCTTTTTATTAAGTAGATGTTTTTGTTATGTGGTATTGAATGTCAATAATTGTATACAGTCTATAAAAATTTTTTATTGCACCAAAACAAAATTATGTATACTTATATAATCTTAGAAATTGTCTGTAAAAGTACCAGATTTTAGTACTTCTGTCTTTTMATTGCTGCAATCATTTCATAAGCCAAGAAACAAATAACATTAATATCATGAGTATTTTCTTTCTTTCTCTGACATAAAGAAGTACCGCTCGAAAAAAAATACTAACAAATGTTGAAGTAATAATATCGTTCAAATTTCATTCCATTTTCAAAACACAAGAATTTGCCTCTTTGTCTTTGTCAAAATCCTTTTGCAATTCTTGTTGCATGAGCATTACTTCAACAAAATGTTTCATTACTGAATATTAGCTAGTAGTTATCTTATTAACATTATTTCCAACATGTTCAGTAGAACATTATATGTTATCTCTTAACTTATTTTTTCTACATGTTCAGTAGAACATTACATAGGTTATCTTTTACAGCACAACATGTAAAAGTATGACCACATTTAATRTATTTGCACACTTCAGGCACCCCAGCACCATCAAACCTTTATTTGTAAATATTCCAAAGCTAATTATTTTTTAATTGTGGTGTAAATAAACTCATTGATTGATTGACTTCTGTGSACAGGCTTTTTGCAGACAAATGGGCTTTTACGCACCTTATTTGTAAAATAGCCAGCTTCAGATAAAAACACCTGTGCTCAGAAGTATGTGAATAAATTAAGTGTGGTCATACTTTTATGCTCTCTGCTGTAAGTTATTTTTCCAACAATACATGTTCAGTAGAACATTATATGTTATCTGTTAAACTATTTTTCCAACATGTTCAGTAGAACATTATATGTTATCTGTTAAACTATTTTTCCAACATGTTCAGTAGAACATTATATGTTATCTGTTAAACTATTTGTCCAACATGTTCAGTAGAACATTATATGTTATCTGTTAAACTATTTTTCCAACATGTTCAGTAGAACAATAAGAGTGGTTTTCATAATTAACCTGCGAAGTCAGATTGATTCAAACAAATGAAAACAAAAGAATGTAATAAGAGAGTGTGATAGTGGTAAATACACTCAAATGTGTTTCAGGGGTTTATGAAAACCACTCTAGTAATTATTATTATCTTTTACTATTTCCAACATGTCAATAAAACATTTTGATAGCAAGAGTACAAGCATCGAAAGTGTACATGCAATATTTTGTTTTGAAAATTACTGATTAAGAAAGCAGATAAAATAATATATTTTAGTATATTGTGCACTTTCACTTTTTGTACTTGGCTCTTTCCTATCTTGACACATTAATTCAGATAATAAAGCAATTTATGATAATGTAATGAATCAACTTTATTTCAGAACAAACTCTCAATTAGGATGTTAGATCTGGAGGGGAGGGGAGGGAAGGGGAGGGGAGGGGAGGGGAGGGAAGGGGGTATGGTGGTACTCAAGTTTTGTCATTTTACATTTTTGAGTGGTTTATGAAACAAATTGCACTACTTAATAAGAGTGCAATAGACAATTTCAAACAGTATAAAAAAGAATTAATGCATGTACAGTACTTACAATGAGTTAAAGATATAGGAGTGTATTTCATGGGCTAATGAAAACCACTCAGTGATAAGCAGATACAATGAAATTATTGTAGACATTTTGCAATACTTGCCTTAATTTTTCTTCTATGATCATGTGMACAAAAGGAGCATTGGGGTTGGGAGGCATCCTTTGTAAAACCACAGTAGCAAAATTCTGAGTCCTCAGTTCTCTTTGGAATATACACATCTCCTTTTGGGGGTTTTTTACTTGTGATGTTGTACCCCCTTGATCTTAGCCAAAGGAGAGTGACGTACTCATGCATTGAGTTCAGACCCAACCCCAACCCATACTTAGCCTTCATATCTTTGGCGTGTGCTGCAACAACATGACCAATGTGCCAGGTGGTTGGATTAACATCAAAGAAGAGAGCATAAGACAAGTAGTAGTGTAAACAAGTTGTATGTAACTGGACTATCTCCTCATCTGTGATGTCAATGCGTGTAAAAAGGGAAACAGAATCACGCAAGCAGAGGCATATGTAAGCAATAGCATGTAAATTGAAAAGATCTGATCCTGATGCATGGCCTACAACTGTGGAGACAAGAAACATGAAATTGTGTAAAAATCTTCTTGAATCTTTACCTGTGAATCTGTAGTCAAACTCTTTCCCTGATGCACGTGCTTCATCAAACCACTTGACAACTCTCTTTGAGAGTCTTTTAAGATGGCATTGGGTCTTCATAGTGTTGATGTACAGGGCTATAGGTGAGGTCTTGGGCACCTGTGAAAATTGAACAGACTTATGTAGATTGGATATTAAGACCACTGTGTTTAAAAGGACTCTGTGGATGTGTGCACATGCATTATTCTTTAAATGCAGGGGCTCTATATGGGCACAATCAATCAATTCTCCCACTAAAGGAACAAACTCTTGTCTGCTTTTAAGCCCTGCAATATGTGTTGTTATTTTTGTCCTCTTTGTGGGTTGAGCAATTTTAGATTTACTCAGAGTCTTCTTGAATGCTTCAACGTTTTTGACTGTTTGTAGCCTTTTCGAGTACTCCCATGGCTTCCAGGTGCTTCCTTCGCATGTGCCAAAAGTTCCTGTAAGGCATTTCTTATTTTGAGTGTTCACATTTCCAAATGAAGAGAAGTATGTGGCACTGTTAGACAGCTCTCCTGCAAGATAAGCCAACATTTTCATGTCATTAGGCAGCTCAGTAAACAAGAATTTGATTTCTCGATCGTGATTGATTATTGTCAAGTGTGATCTTAAAAGTTGTTTTTTGTATATCACTGATGTCTGTCATGAGTTTTTGCACATAGCGAGATACAACTAGTGCATTTTCAGGGCAATTGGCCCCAAAAAGCAAATAGTTTTCATTGCTGTTCAGCACTCTTTTGCCAATATTCAAAAAGCTGACCAGCCAGGCAAAGGCAGTATCATCTTTGCCAAATGGGGCACCATCTCCTCCTAAAGAAACATAAAAGGTATTAGCATTTCCCTCAAACCATATAAGGTCATACACCTCTTCAGAAAGATAAAACTTTGCAAGAGTTAGTAGTAATTGCTTTAAGTCCCTATAAACACCCATCATATTTCATATCTTCAGGAAGATCCCAACAGAGAGTTTCTTTTACACTGAAAAGAGTACCAACATCAATACTCTTAATAAATTTCATGAGTCTATGGTAAGGAACTATTTTAGGTATAGGGCATTGACTAACTGTTATTCGTTTACTAACTGAATTATCATGGCGATAACAAAGATCCCTATAAACAGAACGGTACTTCTTTTTTCCCATGATACCCCCACTATAATATATGGAGACACTTCTGGTCATGTTTTCAGTGCTTTTCTCAAATGATTCCATTTTGGTCTTGTAAATACTTGGGATGACTTGTTTTACCACTTTCTTGCTTTTCACTAGTTCTTGTGAGATGATATTACTGCTGCACTTCTGGAACACTGTCTCTACCAAACCAATTTCCCCTGGACTTGTATCTTTTGCTCTCCCTCCATGGATTTCTTGGGCTGCCTGGTATGTTTCCTTTCTTCTTCTTCTTTTAGTCCTTACACTTGGACCATTTGAACATCTTATAAAAAAATAATTATAAATAGATAAATTAATAAATTGATAAATAAATGAATAAGTAGATAGATAGATAAATAGATAGATAAATAAGAAGGACAGTTGTCATATATGTTTTTGGAAATCACAAAAAAAAAAATCAATCAATCTGAAACTACAACTGATTGTGTGACTGATGTTTTTCTTTAATTTTTTTAAACTTATATTATACTTTTAATGCATTTTACTCTATCTTATAACATGTCTTTCATGTTTGAAAAAGGGTTTGAATGAAATGAAACTAACAATATGATATAAGTTTAGTTTGACAATTGGACTAGTTTTAGTTTACGTGCACCTGTACCTGGTTGGATTCTGCTGTCTAATATTTACTCCCTTCTCTGAAACAAACTTGACTTTCTTCGCTACTGCTTCTTCCTGTTCTATAGATACTACTCCACTGATCTCTCTATMTACTTCTTCTACCTTATAATGCATAAATTGAATTGGTCATTTTCATTTTCTGAACATAAAACATACTAAAACAGCAAGCTAAATAAGTGTGTGTACGTACGCCGCGAGCTGATTAATCCATTCAGAGTTTAATTGTAAACAGTTTTAAAAGCTTATTTCAAAAAGCTTAAAACGTAAAACAAATTATACACTGTGTGAATTTCTGTTGATAAAAAGGACTTTAACTTACCTTTTCACGAATTCGGGAAAGCTTCATTTTCTTTGCTCTTAATTCTTTAGATTCGGCCACGATCTTTTCGGCATGTTGTTTCTTGAGCGCCATATAATGCCCAACAGCAAACCTGCTGTACTTTCTCTTCCTCGACGACATTACAGAAATGAAGGTAAACTTTACAGTGCAAAAAAAGCCATCGCACGAAAGAAAATCACAAAAATAAAAACATACGATCTTTCTTCGATGTCTAAAGGGTGTCGAGAAGGAAAAATTATTTTTGTTGATAAAACAACACAAAAAATGAATGAAGCCGAAGTAGACCAGTTTTAACGTTCGAATTCGACTTGAGGCAAATCGCTTCAACTTCGTATAGTTTGACAAGCCATAGCGCGCCAAGAAAAAAGGAAAAAAATCTGATCTTGCTCTCAAACGAAAGCTCGTAAACAGAGCTGTAAAATTCCCGCCTTTGTTTGACACTTAAGAACCATTTTTTCCCGTGGCGGGTAGGTAAAGTTGACCATGTTACTAGTATAAACTAGTCACCAGTCTTCTTAAAAAAATAGCGCGGCCTAGGAAAAATATGTCACAAAAATTGTGGCCGTTTTGAGGTGCCTTTGTGCCCGGCGTGTTTAGGACATTTTGGAACCACATCTACTCGTAAGGAGTTGCAGATATTTACACCAAAGAGAAGCCACACACTAGGGTACAAACACTAAAAGTGTGCAACACTTTGCACTACTTAGTAGTAAATAGGCTAATTAAACAATAGAAATCAATAAACAAGAACTGTTTGCCTATTTAGCAGAGTGCTTATCAAATATGGATACTGAGAAGCAGGTCATTACAACCTATGGTAGCCAGATTAAGTGTACCCACCCATGTGACAACATCCAACACATATCACCCTGCACACACGAAGAAGCCGACAAGAGAATGCTACTGCACACTTCCCATGCTGTCCAGTGCGGCTGCAAAAAGATCTTGCTGCGCACAGTCGATACAGACGTCCTTGAATTAGCAGTGGTTTCTATTCCTAAACTTAACCAGCTTGTTGATAATTCAGTTGAGATCTGGATTAGTTTTGGAACAGCAAAGAATCATCGCTATATCCCGGCCCATGGTATCTCCAATAGCCTTAGCCCTGAAGTTGTACTTGGACTTCCAGCCTTCACAGGGTGTCATACTGTGTCTTCATTTTTTGGCAAGGGAAAGAAGACAGCATTAAACACATGGAACACTTTTCCAGATGTTAGTAATGCTTTTGTTACATTGTCTAGTCACACACCAGTAGTTGATTCTAAGTTGATGGAGTATGTGGAGCGTTTCGTAGTATTTATGTATGATCGTGCAAGCCCTCACTCTACAGTAGATGGTGCTCGAAAGCAGTTGTTTGTCCAGAACGGAAGACAGTTTGACAATATCCCACCTACAAGAGCAGCTTTAGTAGAGCACGTAAAGCGTACTGCTTACCAGGCAGGTTATGTTTGGGGCCAAACCTTGATCTCATGCCTATCTCTTCGAAGTCCTCAAGATTGGAGCTGGTTACTAGACAGCAAACAGTGGATTCCTTTATGGACCACTTTACCTGAGGTCATGCAGTCATGCCAAGAACTAATAAGTTGTCGCTGCGTAAAGGGATGCCGAGGACGGTGCTCGTGTTCAAGAAACGATCTACGCTGCAGTGATCTGTGCAGGTGTCCAGCAGCTTGCAACAATCGATAAGGAACCAGACTCTTTGGACCATTCCTCCACTTGTAAATATTGATATGAAATTGTAATTTCTAGTATACTTTTTCAAGGAACTGAGAATGTACTGGCGTTATCAATATGTTTAGTTGTACCATTCTCCAAAACGATCACATTCACCTTTAGCCCTTTATTATCTGTCCTAAATAATATTTTGGACAGTTGTGTTCATAAAGTCGTGTGCAAAGTATTGGCACTTAAGTCTTTCAGTTCCTAGGAGTTTCACTTCCGGTTTACAATGTGAAAAATCCTAATTCCGCTATATTAAATCTATGATTATAAAAAAAACTCTATTATGTCATATATTTGGCCATTATCAAACCTCTAAAACGCCTTCCATATATTTTGCTATTACATTTGTGCCAAAAGAATAATTTTCTTGGTCATCCATAATGGGGAATTTCACTTCCGGTTCAAAATGGCCGCCATTTTGAAAACCCCCCCCTTAACACCGCAAAACGAAAAAAATTGGCGTGGCACTATATCAGATATTATTCTACACCTAAAAAGCAATAAGTCTGCAAATTTTGGTGATTTTCACAGAAAGTGAACAATTTCAGCACATATCCGCTCCACTAATAGGAGTAGCATAATTTAGCGTAATTTAGTGGTATTTATGTTGCACACTTTTAGTAAGGAACTCGATTCCTATCATTATCTTTGTTTGCCTTGGTCKGTCTGCTTGTCTTCTAGTGTTTTGACAGTCTGTCTCTTACTAGTCTTCTTGTTTGTTGTTCCTGCCCTTGTGTTTAGTCTTTCCTTCTTTTGTGTTTTAGTAGCTTTTGCTGCTATTTTCAGTGGCTTTTTTGTTGTTACTGAAATCACTTTTACCTATTAAATTCATTTTATGATTTCAGCTCCAGTTCAAAATATGGCAGTCGATATAAAATATATTTTGGTTTCCTTGTCAATCACATTAATCATAGTTTTTTTTTTTCACTGGTGGTTGTTATTGTAAAAAGGTAAGATTTTTTACTGTTTGTGAGAAAAAGAATTCATTCCCAATCTCAGCTTCATTTTCCATCTTATTTATACCCCCATACTTATTTTCATTCATAATCACTATATATATTTTTTAAATAAATGTATTTCCTGTTAATTATGTTTGTAGAGAAACAAGTCAAAGCAAGAAAAACAACACGCGAAAAGCATAAAGAAATATCATACTACGAAAAGCTGTAAATAACGATATCAGAGATGATAAAAATAACGGTAATAATGATAACAAAAATGAAGAAATACTGCTCGTAAAGAGAAAGGAGCCTGATCTTGCGCATATAAAGGCGTGCTAATGACATTGGACAAGTCATTTGCATTGCCAATCGCGTACCCAGAGCCTGCACTTCTTCTGACCAGCGACGAAGAACGAGGGCTCTGGCATAATCCATTTTTTGAGACCAGGATATATTGGTCTCCCGGTATAAGAGCGCATACGTTTAAAGACTCGCAAAAAAAAATCCCTATTTGTAATTTTTATTTTCATCGGAAATAAACACAGAACTCTGTCTCAAATCATGATTTTACTTGATTATAGTTCTCTTCCGGGAAAATGCGCATGCGTCATGCGTTATGCCAGAG